TGAAAATCTGACCATCACTACCCATCCTATTGCAGAATAAAGACAAAATAACTTATGGACTGTGGCATGCTATAGCTCACTTACTAATTCTCAGGTAGGAGGACACGGAAAGAGGGAAGTAGAGCATAATCACAGGTGGGGACATTTCAAACTACCCTAGAAATATATTCCCTTCCTTAAAAACCAGCAACTTGCTATAGTGAGGTCATAGTAATAGTAGGAGCAAGGCCTGACCCATGAGTAGGCTAGGGTAGAAAAATAGTTGAGAACCACCCTGCGCTTACAAGGTCCGCTAACAAGTCACTAAGCATGCTAATCAGTTATCAAAAATGTTTAAGGGCCTCCTACGTGCTGGACACCATTCTAGCTGCAGGGGATGAGACAATCAGAATCCTTGCCCCTTAAGAGATTATGTTTTAAAGATTTATTAGACCATGACAGATATGAATAATTCACTCTAAAAACAACATTTTGGGGATACCTGGGCAGCTCAGTCATTAAGTGTCTGTCTTTGGCTCAAGTCATGATCTCAGGGTCCTGGGATCAAGCCCCGCATCAGGCTCCCTGCTCAGCGGGAAACCTGCTTCTCCCTTTCCCACTCCCCAGTTTGTGTTCCCTCCCTTGCTGTCTCTCTCTGTCAAATAAATACATAAAATCTTAAAAATAAATAAATTAAAATAAAATAAAAACAATATTTTGTCCCTGAAAATGTGGCTTGGAATTGAACAACCAATAGAAGACAAATTATCATCTGCACTAACTTTACATCTAAATCCTCAAAGGACCATCTTCAGCAAGAAAACGACTGCAAAGATATTTATTTTTATATTGAGACTCTGCCTTCTTTACCTTGGATACCCTGAATACTTTCTTGTCTAAAGCCCTTCACATATACAGTCAACCGCACTCCAAAGCCTGAGTACTACACAGGCACCTTCACTCACTCTACATATCTATTAACTGCTCCCCTGGGTGACTTTAGAAATCAGCATTATTACTACAGTCATTTCTCATACACACAGCTCTACACTAACAGGCATACGAAGCCCGAGAAATATTCTCAATACTCAGATATTCCTCTACCTCCACAAACAAGACAATTAAGCCTGCATTATCCTGCATATTCACACTGAATTATTAAAAAGGTACTCTAAAAGCTGTGCGACTTGGTGAACACAGGAAATAGAAGGGGTAAAGAAAAGCCTGAGAATCAAAGACTAATAGGGGAAAGGAGTAAATGATAGCTAAGTGACCATAAGACAGCAACAGAGAATCTTAAAAGCCACCAGACAAGGTCAGAATACACAGAATCCTTAACTTTTAAAGTTATTCAAGGTAGAATTTTTAAATTCCCCATTGCAAAGAAATGCTAAAAGTTAAACCATATGTATCATAGCCATTACCTTTATGCTTAGGTCTAGATTTATGAAAGAAGGAAGGTTTAAAGATTCACAGAACTGAACTCCTCTATCTTTAGCATACTAAAATGCTTTCGAATGAAACTTGATGGTTCTGAACAGGATCTGAATTATTTTGGTTCTTTTTTTTTTTTTAAGATTTTATTTATTTATTTGACAAACAGAGATCACAAGTAGGCAGAGAGGCAGGCAGAGAGAAAGGAGGAAGCAGGCTCCCCGCTGAACAGAAAGCCCGATGCGGGACTCGATCCCAGGATCCTGGGATCATGATCCAAGCTGAAGGCAGAGGCCTTAACCCACTGAGCCACCCAGGCGCCCCTGAATTATTTTGGTTCTCAGAGCTCCAACTTCACCTTGAACTACTGGGTAACATTTTCCTTTTGGTCCCCCGGTAAGCATCTTCCATCTGTTTCTCCAGTTCTCTTATTTTCCACATATCTGATTCCTCCTGAATCTAGATTTTTTAAGAGAAAAGAAATATAATTACTAAAAAAAACAGTATTTTATATCAAAAAAAAGTAACTGACAATACACTGTGCATTAATTATTGTATTACAGAATGGTTTATAATCAGGAATCTGGGGAACACATTCAGGATTCTCTAGAGTAGCTCAACAATGCAACCCAGTGAATCTCAAGTATGTAGAATTCTGCAGCAACAGGAGAACTTTTTAACCCTGCAGAGACTCACTTATCACCTTATTAACTTTGCAACTATGCTGCAATTATCAAATGATAACCCTTTACGTTTAGTCACCAAATCCTTTGGATTTTATCTCCGAAATTCCTCATCTTCATCGCTACGGTCACTGTTCTCACATGAACTCCTCATCATCTCTCACCTGGAGCACCGCAACTGCCTGAACGGTGTCTCTACTGTTTCATTTTATCTGCTCTCTCCTCCCCTACCCAGCTAACAAATCATCTTTCTACAATACAAATATAATCTTGTCACACCCTGCTTAAAAACATTTGATAGCTTCTTTACTATTTAGAGGAAAAGTCTAATCTCCAAGCATCACAATCCAATTCTGATTTACCACCTGAGCCTCACCTTCTCTCACTACCCACTGGCCCCCAACATTCCCTCCTTTCCAGACACACACGCTTTCTTGCCACACCCCAAGTGCTTTGTGCTCTTCTTTGTTGCCATATGAGTACATGACGCTCTGTCTAGAATGATCTTTTACACCTGGTAAATTTGAACCTGTTCATCAAGAACTAGTTCAAATATAGCAGCTCAAAAACCCCTCATTCTGTGAACCCTTTCCTAATTTCCCAAGGCCGATTTCACTGTTCCTTCCTCAGGGCACGGAAGCACCTTATATATGTCTCTATTACAGGACTTACCAAATTGATTGTAATTATCTGTTTTGTTCATCTTTGTATCTCCAAACTACCAAAATCATGCATGGCACACTGTATGACTCCAATAAATGTTGAGGAGTAACTAGATTGTACCTCTCACCTTATTGTGAGCATCTGTATGCCGGATGACATTCCTCAGGAGGACTTTTCCCAATGGAACACGGGACATTCTTCAATCTGAAGTGAATCAATAAATAACATTTAATAACAATAATTTCCTTTCTTACCTTATCTTTTACTACAGTGTTATAAAAAAGCATGAGGTAAAGGACACTGAACAAGAAGTCAGAGGTCCTGAGGGGTAGTTTTCCCTTCACCATTAAAAGAGGGAAACGCCTAGCTACCCTAATGTGCAGATGAATGCACAGTGACATGGTGGGCATCCAAATTCTTTCAAACTGCACAGAATTAAGTGCCTTCAAGAGCACCATTTTATTTAATCCTCAAAATAACCCCCATGTTTTATATGAGGCAAGTATCTTCATTTTTATTTTGTAGATGAAATTCCCTTAAGCCATAACTTGCCCCAGACAAGACAGCCCAAGGCAAACAAGATCCGGATTAGGGATCAACTTTCGAATCTCAAAATTAGTTTGTGATGGAGCAAATACCTAGATCTGACAATGTCAGGACCACAAATGTCAACATTTGACATCAAATGCAGAGACGCCCTAAATATCTCCATTCAGGGGAATTCTTTCCGTTTTGTACAGAAGCCTCCAAAAAACAGATGACAAGGATATTGCGTGTGTAGCTAGCAGCTGTTTTGTGCAACCACCCCACCGCTCACTCACCCCTCGATCCTGAGGAAATCAGGCATCTTGCTAGTGTGAGACGAAGAACCACTCCATTACAAGATCTCCTCCGACCCAGGAAGCCAAGGAGTCAGGGCTCAAAGGCAGCTCTGCAGCTTCACCCGAGTCCTTCATGAAAATGCAGCCTTCCCACCGGTTATTCTGCCCTCACCCGTGGCCCAGGCCACGGCTGCCTTTCCCCCAGCCCGCACCGACAGGAAGATCTCTTTTCGGACCGAGGCCGGAGGCTGCGCCAGCGCGGAATCCGGACGGCCTGCTTAAGGGGGGCATGCCCCGTTCACGCTCCTCTGGGACGGACCCCGGGGTTGGGCTTCGCTCTCTCGAAAGGATGGGGACGGTCTGGACGGGTACAACCTTCGACTGGGCCCAAGAGACACCCAGAGTGCCCGAAAGGGGAGTGGGGGTGGGGGGTGGGGTTGAGGCTTCCAAGTGGAAGACGGAGAAAATACCCCAGTCTCTGTCACCGGGATCCCTGCCCCCCAGCGGCCACGGAGCTCCCAGTAACCTTCCCTCCAAACGCCCTCCCCATACAAATACACACAAACACACCCATACCGTGCGCCGCAGCTTCGCGTGGCGGGGATTTGGGGGGAGGAATCGGTCTGGGAGACGAGGGAGCGGGCTTCCCTTTCAGGCCGGAAGTCGTGCTCCGGAGAAACTCTTCCCACCCACAGGACCCAGAGACTCCCACGGGGAGGGTTTCCAGCATCCTCTAGAGATCAAAGGGTGCGGAAGGGAGGCCGGCGCCTTCCTGGAAAGGAAGTGGATCGGCCTCAGCTGAACAGCAAGCCCAACACCAGGAGGGGGAGATTCCGGAACTGGATGTAAAAAGCCTTTCTTCCTGGAGCTTTCCGGACCCAATTAGACGTTGTACCCGGTCCGGTTACCCTGGTAACAGGCGTCGCGGTTTGTCAAGGAACCCAGAGAGGAGGTGGGTTCGCCGACCTCTGGGATGATTGTCCTTTAGATAAGCTTCCCGTTTAGTTTAACCCTAATATCGTATTCGGGGAACCCAGACCTCCTCTTTTCCTCATTCTGTGGCTGCTGTGGGACGCGTCTCCAGGGGGAGAGGAGAGCGAGGGAGGTTATCTGTAGACATGGATATTACCATTCTCTTAGGGTTTACCAGGTGTCCCAGCCTCTCTGCATGAGCATACTTAATTCTCCCAGTAACCCCACGAGATAGGTATTAGCGCCTTCACTTTGAGGAGAATAGACGGATACATAACTTCACTGCTCAAGGTCCCACACCTAGTCCATGACAAAGCTAAGACTGGGATCTGGGCATTGTGGCTCCAGAATCCTTGCTTTTAACTCCGAAGCAAGGAGAAGTGTCCTGTGGCTCTCTGGCAGTTTCAGGACTGGATAGGCACTAGTCAGCCCATACCCGTATCCGAACAAGAGAATGGGTCACCAGGTAATCCCGACTTTAACTGACTACTCTCCCCTCAGTGCTGGTGAGAGTCCAGGCAGAGGTGAGGACTTGCCCGGGAGGACAACTTGAGAATTTAAGAAGGTGGATTAGATAATTAGAGAATAAGGTAAAGGAAAGTGGTGCTGAGCCACAGTGTTTTAGACACAGGTGCTAACGTCACCAAAACAACTCCTGACCTGTTTGTTCCTCCTCCTTGAAAAGAAGAGATGAACCATTAATTACACAAGACTTTCCCCCCCGCTTAAGTCCTATCTTTCCACAGACTCAAGAGGCCTATTTACCTTAATCATGGAGTCTTCCTCAAAGGGCCTGCTCACCCAAGTTACTCAGTTCTGGAACCTCCTAGACGATCTGGCTGAAAGTAATCCTGAGAGCTACGAGAAGTTCATTGAACAGCAGCTGAAAGAAGGGAAGCAGCTCTGTGCCACGCCAGAACCACAGCTCTGTCTACAAACCAGGATCCTAGTATGTGGTGTTGGTACCCAGGGATGGGAGGCCTTGAGTGAAAGAATCCTGGAATAATCCGAGAATCAGTTATGTTTGGCTTTTGCTACTTTAAGAAAACTTGAGGGGCACTGCCACTCTAAAGGGGGAGTGAAACATGGATGATGATGAAGGATTAAGAATGGGAAATTCACATTTGATATATTTTGGAGATCTCAAAGTCATTTTCTACTAGAACAAGAAAAAAGCAATGTAATGATTTAACAGAAACTCAGAGAATTGGAAGTTTTTTCAAATAAAGAGAACTTACTTGGCTGGGAGGTAAGGAAGTACTGAAATAGGGTCATATTCACCTAGAATCTGCTTAAATCAGTGCCCCGTCCTTCCTCCCAGTTCCTCTGGGAGCAGCAATGGGATCTCCATGAAAACTCAGTAGCTTGGGGGAAATCAGGTAACAGTGTCATTTTCAAACACAGTTTTAATGCATGGAATGGCTTACTTGGAGCCTAAAATTCTCACTCTTCAAATTCTGTGATGAGTTACCATTAGGATTATTATAAAATGAAAAAAAAAAACTAGGTTTTGAGATATGCAAAATTATTTGCTTTTTAGAAACCCAAGGAAAAAGTACTTTTTATTAACCTGTGTCAGTGGAAAAGGATCCCAGCTCCCCAGTCAGCCACTCATCCAGTACCTCTAAGGGTTGGAACACCAGAAGATATGTCTGAGACATCAGGTACACAGAATTAAGGGAGAGGAAGCACATTTTAAAAACTTTATTGGGAATAATAATGATCAGATTTTACTTGGTAAGAGGCATTACAAGTAAAATATTTTATTTGGTTGTAATGTAGTTAATAATTAATAAGCATACCTTTATGTATATGAATTGAATGCTATTCAGTTTTTTCTAACAGTAACCCATATAAAATGCCAAGAAATGCCATAATTGGAAATGTATTTAGCACCATTGTGATTATCTCTGAAAAATACAGGAGTAGAATTTATGCTTTCTAGTTTTATCCAGGATTATGACTTACTATATTACCTGACAATATCATTAGTGAAACAAGTTATCTTCATTTCACATCCTCTGAATTACACACACAGATGTTTATACAGTCATCGATGTTGCCTACAGTCCTGATGTTCTCCAGGCAGCAGAAAAGGACCAAGTAAAAAAAGATCAATTAATACGGATGGCCATGAAATGCATTGAGGAACAATTCCAGTTCACTCTCTCACACTCTTACAGTATTGCTAAATTTAGAATAAAAGGAAGCATTCAAAGGATGAAACAAAATCTGATGGGAATACAAGCTGACCCCACAGATTTAAGAGAGAAAATGAGAAAGGGTAAGTTAATGACTGTAAATGGAAATTCTAACTGATTTAAAATTGTTTTGCATCCTGCGTACATTTTGCAAACTAAAAATCTTGATTTAAAAAGATTAGAATCTTAAGATAGAAAAATATAAAGATTAGATATTAGAAATATTAACATGTCCTTAAAGATTTTTAAATCCTGCAAACTTTTTAACAAAGTTCTTTGGCTTAAGATTCTTTTTTTTTTTTTTTAAAGATTTTACTTATTTTATAAAAGAGATTTTATTTATGTATTTGAGAGAGAGAAACCACAGGGGGTAGGATTGGGGGGCGGGAGCAGAGAGGGAGAATCTCAAGCAGACTCCCCACTGAGCACGGAGCCCAACGCAGGGCTCTATTTCACCATCCTGAGGTCATGCCCTGAACTGAAATCAATAGTCAGATGCTTAACCTTACTGAGCCACCCAGGTGCCCCAGGTTTAAGATTCTTTTAGATTCCCAAACCAAATCAGCTTCAGCTTCAGCTGCCATTTTGGCTAATGCCACATATATTACAGTTCATAGCCTGATGGCATTTTATGTTGTGGATTAATTTTGTGATTTCATCTCCCCCCATTTTTTTTTCCATAAGAACTAAGCCTTGAACAGATTAGTGCTGTGAGCAATCCAGATCACTTTCAGCTTTTATTGCCAAAAGAAGTTGCAAGCAAAGCAAGGTGTCTGATTGAGGAGATTTCCAGCTCAGAGACCCAGGTAGAGATGAAGGAACCAGCCTATGAATTAAAAACTGTGGCTGACCAGAATGATAAACCTCTGGAAATTGAAATAAAAGTTGAATTACCTGGTATGGATTCCGTCGCTCTCTGTGATCTTCGTGTTTCTGAGGTAAGTCAAACAGGTAATACTGTAAACTTTGCCAACTTTCACTATATTATGCTGTAGTAAAAAAAAAAAACACCACCATCTCAGTGGTTTATAGCAGTTTGCTCAGGCTGTATGTCAGGTAGGTCTGCTCTGTTCCAGGAGTCTTGCCCATTTCAAGATAAAGGTAAGATACGCAATTCTCACAGAAGAGAGAAAACAGAAATGGCCAAGCCATGCAATGAATCTTAAAACTTCCTCTCAAGGACGCCTGGGTGGCTCAGTCAGTTAAGCCTCTGCCTTCAGCTCAGGTCATGATCCCAGGATCCTGGGATCGAGTCCCATGTGGGGTTCCTTGCTTAGCAGGGAGCCTGCTTCTCTCTCTGCCTCTGCCTGCTTGTGCTCTCTCTCTCTCTCTCTCTGACAAATAAATAAATACATAAAATCTTAAAAAAAAAAAAACTTCCTCTCAGACATAGTATATATCACTTTTACTCACATTCTATTGGCCAAATTTAAGGCACAAGTTCAAATACTACATCAACAGGGCTGGGAAGAATATACTCACAGGTAGTCACAGGAATTCAAATGGCAAGAATGTATAATCCTCTAACAGAAGAAAGCAAAAAATTGGCATAAGTCCTACAATCTACTACAGTCCACTCTCAAGGACACAATTATTTGCTTCTTTCCCCAAAAAAGGCATCTCCAATCCTAGTCAGCCTCTGAAATACAAGATTTTGCCATTATAATCTTCATCTCCTCTTGAACCACAGACCTATGAGCTACAAAGACAGGTAATCTACTGCCATAGGCACACGCACCATACAATGTGGAACGGAGAGAGGATAAACATAATTAACAGTCTCAGTTTGGAAATTAGGAAAATAAGAGGGACACAGCAGCTTTTGGTGCACAGCAGTTCTGAAATCCCATTAGGCAGATGTTGTCAGTGTCCCTTTCCTGGGGGTAGAGGCGTTCTTGGGTAGAGAACCAAGATTCCTTGATTACCTAGCCCCCTAGTTCCATTGTTTTCCATGACTTTCAGCTTCATTCTCTGGGTGGTGGTTCCCTTTATCTTACCCACACTGGCCACATCAGAAAAGAACATTGCAGAATATGTCATCCTTATGTGCTGAGCAGTTTACTCACCCTTTTACACACTTTTGGGATGTTGGGGGTCCAAAGGTCATTTTAAATGTTTTAGTCAAGGCTAGTACCATTTTATTTCTTTAATTCCAATCAGTGCCATACCCCACAATTCTTTATTTGACATGTCCATTTTTCAATGGCCTGTCTTTTTTTTTTTTAAAGATTTTATTTATTTATTTGACAGAGATCACAATTAGGCAGAGAGGCAGGGAGAGAGAGAGAGAAGGAAGCAGGCTCCCTGCTGGGCAGAGAGCCCGACGTGGGGCTCGATCCCAGGACCCTGGGATCATGACCTGAGCCGAAGGCAGAGGCTTTAACCCACTGAGCCACCCAGGCGCCCCTGGCCTGTCTTTTTTTTTACTTAATTGCTGTCATTTGAGCCAAACATAAGGATTAACTGGGCTCCACCTTAATCCAGTTAGAGGTTTTAACAAAGAGTATAATGATGTGTAATTCAGTCTTTACTTCTAGGCTGTCTTAATCAGTCTTTGGAGGTAAGAAATAAATTCTCAATTTTATTTTTTTACTGGTTTAAAATAAAAATTAGTTCCATTTCTCAGCCTTGAAGTCTTAGAATTTCTGGGCTCTGTATATTCTTTTTTTAAGATTTTATTTATTTATTTGACAGAGAGATCACAAGTAGGCAGAGAGGCAGGCAGAGAGAGGAGGAAGCAGGCTCCCTGCCTAGCAGAGGGCCCCATGCGGGACTTGATCCCAGAACCCTGTGATCATGACCTGAGTAGAGGCTTAACCCACTGAGCCACCCAGGTGCCCCTCTGTGTATTCTTTCAATCCTACTTGCAAACTGGGAAATTCTTTTCTAAGCCCATTTCTTTTTGTAGTAGCTTATTAAATGTAGCCAATAGAAACAATGCATGTTGCCAATATTCTATTTTCATACTTTTGCTAATGCCACACATTAATGGCATACAGTTACTTGTCTTTCAAATTACTGTGCTGGTTTTCCTAAGGGCTTTATCGCTATAAAACATGGGTCACCATTTTTCCTATTGCCAATACAGTTCCTCGCTATTTGCTGGTCAGCCACAAAGTCAATGCCACATAATATAGGATGGCAACACCCGATTTATGGCTTTGTATCAGTTAACTTTTGATGTATTGAGCAGCAGTAACAAAAACTCTCAAAACCTCAGGGAGTTACAACAGCAGCTGTACAAGCTCATTGCAAGTCACATGGCAGTGAGATCCTCCTCTTATGGGAAACGAGTGAATAACTGGGAATAATCCAGTACACATATTTTAACCAGGAAATACTTTCTACCTCATCTTTTAAAATACTTTGGTTTGTTTTTCTTAGGATGATTTATTGATCGAGGTCTCTGAGAAGTACAGATTACATCTGAATCTTCCAGAATTTGTGGATACTGAAATGACTACAGCCAAATTTATCAAAGAGAAAGCTACATTAATCATCACAATGCCATTGGTGTAAGTCAAGAGCATCATTTGCTTTGGGTTTTCAGTGCTAAAGGCATGTGAATGAGAGGACCTTTATAATGGGTGAAGAGGTAGTGGTTTACCTTAAATACTAGTATTTTCTAAGAATTCTTTTTGATGGAGTGAGATTCTCCAACTTATGTTTATCTTTAAAAAAAAACACTCAAATTTGGCTAGACAGAAACTCTTATAATGGTATTGCCATGATATACTTGTTTTGAAGCTATTTCTAATGGTCTTAAAGTAACAAATTGTCACTTGGGAAAATTCTGTTTCCAAGTAAATTGTGAAAATTCTTGGTTTACTGGTTGAAATTCTGGTTTACTTGGTTGTCTCTAGCAAATTTTTGCATCAGGAATAAGTCTCAAACTGTGTGAATTTTCTAATACCAAGAAGAACTGAAGCAGTGAAAGTTTCCTCCAGCTATGAATTTATAGGGCCAATGTAGTAGTATGCAAACCTATGCTTCTATGAACCTCTGTACTACTACAACAGTTCTGATGGGAGGAGTCCAAGTTACCCAGATCTTTTAATATCAAAGAAGAGACTTGTCTGTGGACTGGATACCACGATGCAGTTAACAATAACAGGATGTTATTGTACAGAAGATGTAAAATACATCTAGCCCTAAGAAAAAGGATGTGACTTTGGGACAAGTGCCTTTCTCCTATGAAAATAAAAGACAAAAGCGATGTATTTACCAACTTCCATTCATCTGTCAGATGGTTGTTCAATACAAAGGTATTAACTTTGATGTTCACATCAAACTTTAAACATCCTTAATCATTTTTCCTAGATACAGTACAGCTTCCTTGTAATAGTTTCTAGTTCAACATAAGGTCTTTAAAGTCCTTATTAATTTCAAAGCTTTTTAACTTAGAAACAAATCTAGTATCTAGAATAGAAAGAATTGATATATGATATTTAGAAGTATATGATGTCCTAAAGTTAACACAGCTATTATATTCTCTTCCATCAAAAAAACTCGGAATGCTTTCACCTTACTTTCTCTTCTACAAAATCACTGTCAATACTTGTCCTACACACTCCCATACCTAACCACACAGAAGTGGTTCAATCTCTGCTCTGGCACTCTCGGCATTTGGGTGTTACTTTTGCCAGCAGCTTAGTGTTTGTGTACTCATTAGTAAAATGTGTTTCAAAATCTAGCATGCTTAATTTTAAATTTACATGCTTATTTTCCAAAATATTTTACTTATTTCGATGGATTTTTATATTCATAAAAACTTCTCCTCCCTCTCCCCCAAAATGTAAAACTTTGCCCAGGAAGAACATTAATAGCTGTGAAGTAGTTTAATCTAAATCTTACCAAGTTTTTTTTCCTTCAAACTGGAAATTGAGGTGAATATTAATTATCCTTGATTTAGAGACTAGATTTTTCTAGAAGCTTGTTTTATTTTTTAAGGTTAGAGAGTGTGTGTATGTGTGTGGGTGTGTGGGGGGGGGAGCAGAAAGAGAGGCAGGAGAGGAGAAGCAAACACTCCCTATGCAGGGTTCAGTCTTACCACTTGGAGATCATGACCTGAACCAAAACCAACAGTCAGACACTCAACTGACTGAGCCACCCAGGTGCCCCTACAAACTTGGTTTTAGATCATTATCAGTAGTGATTATTTTCCCATGTATTCCAGGCTTTGGGTATTACTAGGTGAGAAGTACTCCTTGCAACATAGTCATACGATCTCTCAGGCCAGTTAACTTCTTTAACTCCTTTTCCAGACCATGCCTTGGGATACCATAACTTCACTCACAAACCTCAGGCTTGGTGTAAAGTATCTAACACGTCCAGACTATGCTTTCATCTCGCTGTATGGCACCCTCCACCATGCAGTGCTTCAGTTAACTCCCTAAGCTTCAGGTATTAGATTGCATCCTCCTAAACTCAGTCTTCTCTTTCACTAATTCTACATGCTTAAAATGCATTTCTATTAAGAGTGTACACATATATAGCTATCTCTGGCTTTAATGTGAAAAATAATTACCAACACATCAAAAATTAGACAAGACACACTGAAAACATCTAGTTTAATTTTTAAATAATTTTAACCAAAATTTTTAACTTTTTTCAGTTCTGGTAAGAGAAATAGACTGAATCCAGATTTGGATTATACCCCAGATTAATTTTTAACTCCAAATAATTTTTATTAGAAGACAACCTTTTATTTTTCTTTCAAGGGAACAACAGAGCCATAAGCATTTGCCAAAAATGAATTATCTTTGAAGTTTCATGTATTTGAACCAGGTGTGGCTCACACCGCTGGTCCCTTCTGATTAGCTTGTTCCTTCTTCACAATCTTCAATTCAAGCTAACATTACTAATTACTGAAAAATCAATTTAACGTACTGTACTGTTTTCATAATACAGTAAGGGAAATATTCTGGAATATATGCAGTGTCACTTCTGCATCATTTAATAAAGAACATTTAGAAATAGATTCAACACTGAAAGACCTAAGTTTCAGGGGACTGCTCCACATATATACAAGGAAACACTGGTCAGATTTATTTTAAATAATCATAAACAATTCCAAATAATTTATTAAAAACACATCAATGGAAAGTCTGGAATTGGGATAACGTGCCAAATTCATTTTTATTATCCTGAATATCACAATATCACCTCTTCCACTCCCCCTCCCCTAAGAAGAAAGGCAAATTGTAACAAAATGGAAAAAAACATTTAGGCTGATAAGGCAGCAAGCAACTTATTTTGTTTCTTTCCAATAGGATTTTAGGACTTTCTTATTGTACATGAGACAACACTGAGTGGAAAAACACAGAACACTTTCTTTGTACACACTGAACATTTTTTACTTTATCCAAGTAGAAATGACCACTTTGCTTCTAATCTTTTAGCACTCCCAACTGCTTAGCAACGTCTCTCTCCCCCTCTTCCCTTCAGACAGGACTTGGTGGTAAATGGACTTTGGCACATATCTCACTAGAAACCATATTTTACATATGTACACTTACTCCACAGTTTCTTGATAACAGATTTCCAAAGCCATTTGAGTAACAGATTCTGATAATTTAAGTTCATTTGCAAGTAACCAACGGTTAATTATTGAGGAATAATTTCTACTTTCTGTTAAATTCTATAAGCATATTCTTTTATTTGGAGGTAATTTTAAATTCTGCTATCAAAATTACGCATGTAAGTTGTTTAAATAAATACCCACACAAATTCTTTTATAACAAGTCCCGGTTTATATTTATATCTTCATCTCAAGGGGCAAAACAACCATTTTGGGGATTCATAGAAAAATAAACAAAGGACAGACAGCTGGTTGGAGAAGTCTAAGAGAACGTTAACTTTTAAAATTTCACTTATTTTTCTTGAAGTTCTCTACCCTTCCCATCCATAATAAACCAGGATCATGTAACAGAAAAATTTAGATTAGGGTTAAATTCCAAAATCAAGTTCAATTCAGAGCCTTTCTCCAAAGAGAATGGACTTCTCTTTTTTCCTTGACTTGTCTTTCTCTCAAATGAGCAAAACATTTGAGGCAATTAAACTTCAAAACCTCAAGGTTTCATCCAGATTACCTTTACGTATCTGTTTCAACAGGGAACCACAATTCTAGCTCTACATTTCCCAATGGAAGTACTTATCACCAAAAGGCCAGGCCACATATTCCCTTGACTAGGAATACACAGTTCAAAATCTGGTGTTCATTAAATGTGTACAATATGTGGGTGTAATTGGCATTTAAAAAATTCAGTAATGCCCATTACAAATAACTTATCTGGACAGACTCAAAAACAACTGGTTAACTTTAAAATAAAAAGAACCACCTGTGTAATAACATATTTATATCATGGTAAGAATGAACCATTGTGACCTGGGAGAGTCTAGAAATTCTTCGGTTAATTATAACAACATGGTGATAGGTTTTTCAAGGTACTTTCTAAACTCAGCAAGCCACTGGGCTCCAACTGCTCCATCCACAACCCGATGATCACAACTGAGTGTAACAGACATCATGCTAGCCACATCAAATCTAGGAAAAGATAAAAACAGTATTAGGTATGCTGAAAGCAATTACTAGCTTTTAGCCAGTAACCAACCCAAATGCCAGCTCCAACCGAATGATATTATTTTCCACCTACTCTTTAAGTTCTATACACCAAAGAGCCATCTGGAACACGGGCTGACAAACTACAGCCCACAGGCCAAATCCCACCAAATGTAGGTATTCTGGAATTCATTTACGTATTGCTTACATCTGCTTTCTCACTACAATATTTGCAACAGAGACCATGACTCAAAAAGCCTAAAATATTTACAGCCTGCTCCAAGAAAAAGTATGCTCACCCCTGACCTATAGTACATAAGGCTTCTCATTTCAAATAGGATTAACTGCATACAGTAAAAGAAGGGTTGACGCCCTGAAAAACTTCATTCTATACTTACACCTCACTGTACCTGAACCTCCAACAGGCTGTGCCAATAATTATAAAACCGAGACTCACACACAGGTATGATGTAAAAACAAAAACCACAACAACCACCAAAAACCAAACAGGTATAATATAATGAAAATGAACTTACAACTCCCTCTTTATTTTGATACTTACCCTTTTTCATTATCTGCTGGAACCAGCCTATCTTCTGAAGCACCAATTGCCAAAATACATGCTTGAGGTGGGTTAATAATAGCAGAGAAGTTCTTAATTCCAAACATTCCTAAATTGGAGATTGTAAAAGTGCCACCCTAGAGGAAAAGAGATTAAAAATCATGTTAATTGCTTGTCAACATAAGCCAGGAAAAGAGAGACAAATGTTCTGTGGAAAGACCTTAAGATAATCTTTTTTTTTTTTTTTTTAAGATTTTATTTATTTATTTGACAGAGATCACAAGTAGGCAGAGAGGCAGGCAGAGAGAGAGGAGGAAGCAGGCTTCCCGCTGAGCAGAGAGCCCGATGCGGGGCTCGATCCCAGGACCCCGGGATCATGACCTGAGCCGAAGGCAGAGGCTTAACCCACTGAGCCACCCAGGTGCCCCGAGATAATCTTTAAGAAAGTCCTCTGAGGGATGCCTGGGTGGCTCAGTTGGTTAAGCAGCTGCCTTCGGCTCAGGTCATGATCCCAGCGTCCTGGGATCGAGTCCCACATCAGGCTCCTTGCTCATCAGGGAACCTGCTTCTCCCTCTGCCTCTGCCTGCCACTCTGTCTGCCTGTGCTCGCTCTCTCTCCCTCTCTCTCTCTGACAAATAAATAAATAAAATCTTTAAAAAAAAAAAAAAAGAAAGTCCTCTGAACTACCATAAAAAAAAATTTAAAAAGGAAAGGAAGGGGTGCCTGGGTGGCTCAGTGGGTTAAAGCCTCTGCCTTCGGCTCGGGTCATGATCTCAGGGTCCTGGGATCGAGCCCTGCGTCGGGCTCTCTGCTCAGTGGGGAGCCTGTTTCCCCCTCTCTCTGCCTGCCTCTGCCTACTTGTGATCTCTCTCTCTGTCAAATAAATAAATAAAATCTTTAAAAAAAAAAAAAAAAAGGAAAGGAAAGGAAAACCGTGAGTACAAGGTGACAGACATGACTTGGCTTGATTATGATCATCTCACAATGTATACATACAGCAAAACATCAAAACTATATACCCTGAATATATACAATTCTTATTTGCTATTTATACATCAATAAAGCTGAAAGGG